TATGAAAAAATCCATTATTAGTGTAGTATATTATTATATCCCATGTAATTAGTATATTAGTATATCGCTATTAACCTACTTCGCGTTGAATTTTCATCAATGTTAAGCCTAACGAAAATTTTTTAAAATAATAATCGTCGCTATTGTATCGTTAAAAATTAGAAAATTAAGCCTCGTTTAAATACTGGCTCCCTTTCATGGTCAATCCAGTGTTGCCAGCTAAAACACGTAAAAATAATATTAAAGTAGCCAAGACATAGCCAAATATTGTAGCGCCACATCACTAGCGAACATTTGAATTGCCGACTAGAACGCGGTCTTTTAACCGAGATGACGGTTAATCGGGGGGTCGGATAATCGATGCTCTACTGTATTCGTGAAAAGCTGAAGAATATTGAAGAAGTCTCGAGTCCAGAAGAATCTCAGTCTTTCTTATTAAATTGTCCACTGAATGAACGAGTGAACAAAACCAATGGGTTTGTCACGGTGGAGTTTTTCGGATTTTGTTTACCTAAACGGGAACTAGTTTTCTGCAGGAAAGCCTTCCGGGAGACACTTACCTTGGCAGATCGCATTGCCTTATTCCATCAACCCATTTATTCTTTCCTTTCTGACTACTTTACAATATGGTATATGGAAACTTATAAAAATGTTTTCAATAATTAATCAAATTAATTTTTACAGATACAATAAATGCAGATTTAATATTCGTGTCTATTTCTTAATATTATAAATCATATTATTTAATAAGAAAAATCATTTGAATGAGACTAAACATGTTTCTGTTAATGTACTTCTTATTTTTCTTAATAAATTTCGTAGTCAATATCGTATATTAGTTAACACAGGGATTTACGAAATTTATTAATAGCAAGAAGGGGTTCAGGTATAGAAAAAAGGGTTGGATTAATAGAATAAGTCAACACAACACTCGGGCGATCTGACAAGAAGGTGCCTCCCGAGAGGATATTCTACGAGAAACTGATTCCTACTTAGATATTAGACAGGAGAAAACTCAGGAAACTCCAATTCGTTAATGAGATGTGAACATCCGACCAACTACCAATGGTTTTATCCGCTCGGATTGGAAAATATTGATTTATAATACACGTTAAATTATGAAAGTTAAGAAGTTTACTTTTTTAAAAACGATAAGAATGTTTTTTAAAATATTCTTATAATTATTCATGTTATCAAATATGAAAATTCAATAAATTATTTAAATTATTATACATATTTATATAATAAATATAAAAAGTAATGTTTTATACACATATTTAATCGATAAAATACAGTCGATCCCCCTATAACACGGTAGATACGTTCCGTTTTTTTATGAAATTGATGTTTTAGGAGACCTTGCCAATCACAGCCCGACACGTGTGAAGTTTACGGACTACGGCTGTTTGAAAGGTTTTCTTCCATAAAATTAATCAATTCTAGACTAATTTGACT